AGCTCTCCGGCTGCTCCTATGCAGGCACACGAGCAGGCAACTAACGACAGACATCCTCTCTCAGAAAAATGGAAGGGGAAGACCGAGAGCCCCATTTACACACTCAGACTCAGGAAAATAAAAAGATTACTTTAGAAAAGGAGGCCCTCCTCGGGCAGGGACTGTGGCTCCGTGGCAGAGCGCTCGCCTCGCACGCGTGAGGTGCTGGGTTTGAACCTCAGCACCGCATAAAAATTAATAAATAAAGTGAAGGCACAGGTCCATCTACAGCTAAAGTGTTGTGAGAGTGTGTGTGTGTGTGTGTGTAAGGAGGCTCTCCTTGCAGATACACATACAGTAGGAAACGTGATCAAGGCCACAGCTTGTGGAATGGGATCCTCTTCGTAAATGCAGTCCAGGCAAACCTTTAAGTTCAACTCAGGAGCATCGTGAGTACACACTGATCACAGTAATGGATGCTGGGCCACCTGCTGTGTCTGGGGACCTGTGACGGACCTCCATCTGCATGAGCCAGGACACTGAGCTCAGGCAGCAGAAAGCTCGCCATCCAAGAAGGTAGGAGAACCAGGCTCAGAAAACAGGAAAGAGCCAAAGGGGCCACAGCAGCCAGGGGCACAGTCACCTCTCACCCGGGGCCACCTGTCTGGCCTCCTGATAGAGCGGACACTACTTCAGCCTCTGAGAGGTCACGCCCGCCATCCATGAGCAGTGTCTCTGCACTACCCATTCCAGATGCATAGCAACAGGCCACTGGTGTGCTAGGACAATGCAGGTCTGATTCACAGAAACCAGCGTCATCGTGGCCCGACACTAAAGGACAAAAAGGAACATCATCTCAACACAAAGGACGAAAGATTTTTCTGCAAGATCCTAGCCACGTAACGTGACAGACAAAGCCTCATCTATCAAGGCATTCAGTTGCCGGCCGTGTTCACAGTACTGTCAATCATCAGCCGTGGACGGCAGGGCCCCGATGGTGCAGCCGATCCACCAGGCTGGGGGACCTGACTATGTAAAATAAAAAGAGTAAGTTATCATATCGACGAATTGCAACGAGTTAGAGCTGAAAGCCATCCAAGCTAGCCACGTTCGATAAAACTCCTTATCTGCATTTTAGGGTGCATGTCATTAGCTCAAAGAAGATTAATTTCTCCATTCATATTTCAATTTTCTTTTATGGCAAAAACATAAAACCGTGGAGATTTTGAAATACTCTTTTCTTGCTTAATCAAATGTTGGGAGCCTCCTGTCCACATGGAGAGAATAATTAATAAGTCACAGAGACTCCAAAACCGAGAGGTCGAGGTAAGTCTCACGATGCTGGCGTGCAAATCCTCTTTGAAGACAGGCCCTCATGGAGAGTTAGAAACAACCCTCTGCTCCTCTGTGAAGAGGACTGAAAGGCAACAGGAGATCACACGCTCACACAGTAGGTGCGCTGTAATTAGCCGCCAGTGGTATTCATTAATTTTGATGCACAAGAGGAAAATGTGCAAGAAATAAGCCTAAGGTAACTTCATGCGAGGAGAGGATCCTTTGCTTAAAAGAGAGACTGTGAAGGCTCCCTATGAACCGCTACAGAAATGGACACCGTCCACCCACTGAAATCTTAATTCACCAGATTCACTCTCAATCAGACCTCAGTCCATTTTCCCCACAAGAAAATGAGGCTCCCACTCGATGTCTTGTTGTTATCCATCGCATTTCAGGAAAAAATGCTGCGTGCTGCCCTTTTTAAACAAATGTTCACGTTAACGAGCTCTCCACGACCCACAGCAAACGGCTCTGCTGCCCAGAGAGGCAGCAAAACGGATCATTAAGGAAATATCTGCAGATCACGGTTTCTATAAATGGCACCTTAGAACCTGCCGCATCCAGTGCTAATCGAATCTTCTAATTTTATTAATATGCATTCTCCACCTTAAAAATGCTGAGCCGCACAAAGCAGTCCCCTAAGAACATCATCATCAAGTTAGCAAAGAGGGAAAGAGATGGAGGACACCAAATCTAATGTGGCTGGTCCCAATCCCAGCTCTGCTGGTTACAGCTCTGCAACTTGGCAAGTTTTTAACGGCATCTTGCTGATTCCTCACCTACCAAACAGCAGTGCTGCCCCAAGAAAGGCACAAGGTGGCAGGTGAGTGGACGAGAGGCCACACAGAGAATCTGGAGCTGCCTCGGGTGTGGAAGATGGAGAGAAGAGGAATGAAAGGTTCAGGGAAACCACGAGGTGACGAGGTCCACTGGGGCCAGGGGACGCAGGGACAGACAGCCAATGGCCCACCAGGAACGTGGGTTCCACAAAACACCTGCGGCAACCCACACAGAGCACAGACGATATTATCAACACTTATCCTCAAGTACTTCACAAAATGTCATTTTATAACCAAGTACATCCAAAAAGCAAAGTAAAAGGAAAACCAGATACATTTCAGTCATTTATAAACCCTTTGCAATTAAATTACGAACTCCCCAACGTGACTGACAGGACACGGATCATCAGATGTCTCTAATCTGGGAATCTGCAGCCGGACGGTAATCAACCACCCGGAATTAGATGCCCCTGGGTGAGGACAGCAATGAGAACTTAGGCAAGACTCGCTGCGTGCACCGTGCACTGGTATTCTCCACAGTTTCCTGTTCTGACATCATGTTACGGGGACCTGATGATTGACAGTACTGTGATCATGGTGGAAACCGTGATCCTAGGAGGAGCAGGAAGAGGGTGTAAGATCCACCCCGCAATCGACTTCTGGTCGATCTCGTCCCGACACTGAACTTCTGCCAGAACACTTCTGCACAAACACTCAAGTTCTGCCAGATGCTTCTCGCTGCCTCTCTCCCGGCAGTTGTGGTAGGACACACACTTCCTTTGTGTTTCCTGGTGCACTTCCGGCCTGCTGGAACTGGTCTCTCGGCTCCTCTTCCAGGCTGTGAACTTCCTCTCAACCCAGAACTATCCAACAAGGGAGACCAGAAGAGACCTTGGGCTAACACAGCCGCTGAGTTCAAGGGTTCACTCATTCAAAGGAGGTGCTTGGATTAGCTCCCCCCTCCCTGTCCAGCCCCAAGCAGGGTCACAGGCCCCCGGGACACCAGGTGTGCAGGGTGAGGGCGCACACCTGCAGTGCTCCGGATCTTGAAACCACACCTCACAAACCCAAGTGAGCTTTCCTGGAAGTTTCGCGGTTTGATTTTAACCCACTGTACCGTCAGTTCCCCTGGCCCACAGGCACACGCCACACTGCCAACTCCTCCAGAGCAAGCACAACGTGAAAAGCACGGCAGCTAATCAGTTCATGAGCCCTTATCCCCATGAAAATCTGCAACAGGTTATCTCAGCGTGTGGCACCTAAGCCAACCGGGCTGCGGGAGCAAGGAGCGGCTTCCAAAGTCCCTTAAAAGTGGCCCTGAGGCCCGGAGTACGAGCACCTCGCTACCGTTAATAAGGGGAGAATGAGGACTAACGGCCAGCCTGAACCTCTCACTGCTGTGCCCCCACTTCCCCCACACCACAGGGAGACCAAACAGAAGGGCCCTTCCCATAGGCCCTGTCCTACACAGGCCGGGGCTGAGGTCCCCGCAGCTCTTCACCACAAACACTGAACTTGGTTTTGAAACTGAATCCAGTCTTCACTTCCTAAGGTACAAGTTGCTCCCCATTTCTGCATGAGCGCCTAAAAACTACAGTGACTGTCTAGAACATTCTAGAGGGAGGGCTCCCCTGTCTTCCGCAGCTGGACCCAGAGCTGATGGGGCCCTCGTCTCTGCAGGGGACCACACACACTTCAGCTGACAAGCTGCAGGACAGAGGGGGCCTGTGGGCACCTAGGAGGACGTGAGGAGAGAAAAGAAGCGCACTGCCTGGCAGGAGGGCAGACAGCCCAGAGCCGGCCTCAGGCCTGTTCGCACAAACCCACCAGGCGCCTGGGCCAGGCTCCTCGCAGGACCTCCTCTGCTTCTGGCAGGGAACAGGCAAAGGATGCACATGGCCCCTTCCAGACCCGCCTTGCCAAAGGGCAGGCACTGTCCCCACACCACCACCAAGGAGCAGCGAGAGGCAGGGCCAGACTCGTGAAGACGACAGGTGGAAACACAAAGGCCCTGCTGATGACCTGTTCTCTGTCGTGCTGACTGCTCCCCGGAACCTTAATCTCCCCATGTTGCCCAGGCTGGCCTTGGACCTGCCATCCTCCTTCCCCAGCCTCCTGAGTCGCTGGGATTCCAGGTGTGCACCACCGCCTCCCGCCCCGCTGATAACTTTGTAATTCCAGTTGACGTGTTGAAACGGTGCTATTTGGAAATCCTGGGGTGAACAGAATGTATGATGAAAGTCAGCTTCGCCCATTTCTTGTTGCTTCTTTCAACATGACCACTGGAAACTTGAAACGTCGCCCCGTGGCGCACACATTTCTACAGTGGTAATCTAGACAGACAGTAAGAATCTGATCCGCTACCAGGCGGTCACTGAGCAGCAATGGGCAGACCTGGCTCTGGATGTCACAGTCCGCACCTAGAACTGGTTAGACCTCCACCACCACAAGTGCGGCCGCCCAGAGACGCAGGCCAGTGCTGGGGAGAAACACTATGGCCGGTCCACGTGCTGTAAAGCGGAGGCAGAGGTCGAAGCTGACCCTTACACAAAGGGACAGAGTGTAGGGGAGGCAGAGGTGCCGCCAGAGTCTGCACCCCGCTCTTCCCAGCTCGTGCAGGGGAGGCCTGGACAGGCCAGCTGCTGCCCTGACCCACCTGCAGTGGGCTTCTCCACGCCCTTCAGCCCTGCTTCTCCCAGCACAGAGCCACAGTGGGAGACCAGGGAGGGGTGCAGCCAGCTCCACGGAGGGACGCCCACTCAAGTTCAGAGCCACCATTTCCCAATGAGCGCTTCCGCCCTCCAAGAGCCCCTGCACCTGTGCCTGACCGCACAGTCACAGCCAGCCCCCGCCCTGAGCTCCACCGAGCTCCCCCCCCCAGCGAGTGCACGCAGCCCCAGGGCTCACTCAGCCTCTTGGCCGCCTCCAGGGCTTCGCGCGCGGTGCTGGCCACGAAGAACCTCTGGACGCGCACCCCGTTGTCCGACATCAGCTTCTTGCTCTGGTACTCCTGCAGGTTCAGCCACCGTCTGCAGGCCACGGGAGGCACCTGGGGACACGGAGGACAGAGGTGAGGAGGCTGCGCACAGTGGGAAACCCTCAGCCGGCCCTCCCCTGCCCTCGGCGGGCAGCAAGCGACCAGTTTACAGACAAAGGAAAACGGACCTCCTGACATTCCTCACGAGGAAGGACTATTTTAACCAGACACACACTCACACTCACACACACACACACACACACACACACACACAGCATGAATGCAAATTTCAAATGGCGACATGGAGTGCGGGCTGCGTGCCAGGCACCAGAAGATGCCAGACAGACCTCCTGGTCCCCACGCAGCACTATGATCACGTGAGGCTCTGGATCGGGGCCTGGGACCCGCACACTGCCCACACCTGGTTCCCTGGGTCTGCAGGTGTTCCTACTTAAGTCAGTATTAAGAAACACGAAAGACTCTGACATACCTGTGTCTCTTGCACTCCGTCGCAGAGCGCTGTGGCACCAACTGTATGCACGCTAGGACCCTCGCACTCTCTCCCCAGGGCACCCAAGCACAGAGCACTGTGGTACCAACTGTATGCACACCAGGACCCTCACACCCTTGCTTCAGGGCACCCACTTGCAGACCCACCATATTTTGCCAACTGTATGCACACCAAATATCAAGAAACTCATGAAGACTTTTCTTAATTCTCTGAGATCACCAGGTCACAACACTGTATTTCTTCATCTCAGTTTTTAATAAAATTCTCTGTTCCTTGCACCAGAGTTGAGTACAAACCTGAAAGATGCCCACTGATTAGCTCCTAAACTCCACTTGTGTGCTGCAGTAACCTCGTTTTTTAAGTAGAAGGGCTTCTCCAGTACGCGCTGTCAGGTTTTGACTCATGTCGAAAGAACACAGTCAAGGTGCAGAATGACAATAACAACGTCTTTTTTCTATTTACCAATAACATCAGCAGCATTCCCTGCCAAATCTAAAAACCCCATTTTGACACGATAAAAATAACAGGAAAAGAGCAAACAGTTAACCCTTGTCCCCATCCATGAACCTGAGGTGAAGGCGCTTGCACCAGGTGGGTCTTGATGCCAGTAACACAACCAAAAGCCCAAGCCCTCAATGGTCTCCCAGGGCTGGGGCCCGGGAGATGGCACACGCCCAGCAGCGTCCAGCAGCGTCCAGTGGCCTCTCAGCAGGTCCGAGCATCAGGCAGACACAACACTGGGGCCCAGAGGCAGGGCATCGACACCGGGGACCATATCCTTTCAAGGCCTCTAGAATGTTCTTAAAATGTCGTTTTCCTTGGAATCCTCCCAGCCAGGATGCACTCAGGAGTTCTTTTAGACAAGGGGACCCAGAGAGGCCCTAGGACCTCAGGACTGGCCTGGTCCACTGAGGGGCCGCCGAGGGTGCTACAGCCTACAGCCACGTTCAGAGGTGGGAGGCGGTACCACGAGAGCCCTGGCTGCATCCGTGCGCCACGCTGGACAGACTGATGATCTGAATGGACAGGCAGGAGGGGTGAGAGTGGGGGAAGCAGTCACTGGCGCGTGCTGGGCAGCGTTCCTCCACCAGCCCCTTCCGCCATGATGCGCTGCTCACTGAGGCCCAGAGCTGTGGCCTCGGCCAACCACGGACTGAACCTCTGAAACCACAAAAGTAAACTTTTCCTCCTCTAAGCTGCTCCTACAGAGGGGTATTTTGATCACAGCTCCATGAAGCTGACCCACACACTTCGGAAGATTGCGAAGGGGCTTGGCACGTGGCGAAGATTAAGAAGACACCAGCCGGATGCCCAATGAACAGAGCCTGCCTTGTGTCCCCCGGCTGCTAACAACCTTTCTTCCCCAGAAACTGGTTCCGCCAAAACAGAAAAGTAATAATCAGTCCTTACGATCTGAAAAAGAAGTGTGAAAAATCATACATACGAATGATGATGCACACTTGTAAGAAGACTCAAATCGACAGGATCCAACGATGGATCAAACCTACAGACAGCTCTTCCGCTCTTACAAATACTAGAAATGATGTTTTCCTCGCTGAACTTGACTGCAGTTCTTCTCTGGAGTAACACTGGGGTAACGTTGGCAAATGACGTAACTGCCAGACAAGCAAGGCTACATCACTGGCCAACGTCACTTCTTAACTGTAGGTTAGTGGTTGATCTTACTTCTCGATCTCAAGCCTTGGTGATTAGGAGAGCACAAAACTTCCTACATGAACATATCCACAGGCTTCGGCGTCTCAGTGGCACGCCACCGAACATTCCAAGAAAAACACAAGTGTGAGGCATTGAATAAGAGCCCTCTAATGAAAGAAAGCACTAATGTTACCAATGCGCCATTATCTGGGCCCAGTCTGAAAAGGCAAGTGGGAAGGATCGATAGATTAAGTCCATGTTGACAGACCAATTTGAAGCCATTAAGCAAAGAAGAAGAAAGCACAGTTTGAAAAGCACATTTGAGGAGAATAAAACCAGCCACCGAGTGGCCGTGGTCAATCCCTTTTCATTAGAACACTGGCCGTATTAATTTTAGGTACGCTAATGCAATCTGCTGCAAACTAATTGCAATTGATCGGGAGCCCAGCTTCATAGACACATGATACATATTGACTGCTCCCACACTGGCTTAAATGGGAGCCGGCTTCGAGTCCGCCGCTCTTAACTGAAGACCAAGACAGTGCGCCCAGGTCCACAGCCAGGGCCCACGCCCCACCCATCACTCCTCAGAGCAAGTGAGACTGAGCACCGACTCGTGCTCAATGGAAAACCTGGAGCCAACCTGGCCTGCACTCCACCCAGCCAACTCCACTTGCTGAGGCTCGGTGGTGCGTCCAGAGGGGAGCAACCCACGTGTCCTTCTGCATCTTCAGGGGCAGGAGGCAGGAAGAAACTCACCAAGCGAACGGATGGGTACAGCGTGGGGGAGAAGAATCGTTAACTGATGAACGCTGACGTGAACCTGAACGGCTACTAACGAAGCGTTCAGCGTATCCTGCACGTTAGAGTAAGCTTCGCGCGCTCTGGTGGGTCACACGCTCATGAAAGGGGACATGGCTTCTCTGCTTCCTGTAGCTGTCATCATTCCCAGTCTCCCTCCTCCTGGGCACTGCCTTCGCTGAGGCATTGTGGGGAGTCCCAGCCAGGAAGCTGGCATTACTCGGGCCACACCAAGTCTCTGTCCTCCCATCCTGGCACCTTCCCCGTCTCCACCAAAGAGGCAGAGGGTCCAGCGGAGGACATGGCCCAGGCACCCACAAACGTGCAGAGCCAGGATCCCTGAAGAGGGAGCCCGGGAGACGGTTCCTTTGGAGCCCTGGTCTTTGCGAGAGCGTTACGTAATGACCCCGGCCTCTGTACAGCCTGGTTCCCACGCTCCTGTAGACAGTCACATCTCCACCCTGGGTTTGAATTGCAGCTCTTAGGAGAGTCAGCTCACAACCATCTTGAGAAACTGCTGCCTGTGACAAAGGCCACCTCCCAATGTCACTGGCAGACGCTGCTTTGCCTTTGTGACAAACGGATAAACTGCTTATCGCAAGATTCCCGCTCAAGGTCCCTGGTCATGTGGGCCAGGAACTCGAGCCCAGCATGCTGTAACGGCTAAGGAAGGACGCCAGATCTCCTACAGAAGCCCTGCGTAACTGCAGCGGGGGCCAGAACCCCAGAGCGACAGCTCATCCGGGTCCGCTGGCCTGAGGACCCCGAGTCCTCCCACCCTCCCAGTGGTGCCTGCTCCCTCCTGAAGATCCTGAGTCCCCAACACGGCCTCTGTGGATGTTCACCCCTGGGCTTCAGGGGCTGTGACAGTGGTGGTCACCCCGAGCACAGCCTGCCCTCCTTAGGGGAGCCACCGTGCAGGTGGACGGCTCCAGGCACGCGGGAGGATCTCAGGCCTCAGGAGGCGTCTCTGACCAGTGCTCCTGAGAGCTGCCCAGCAGGCTGCGGTCCCACATGTGAATTTCACACGCTCCCACAGGCCCCTTGGTGACACAGACTGGGAGGGGTCAGCAAACAGCGTTCCCCCTTCCAAAGGTCTGCTCTCAATCCTGGCCACCACGTTTAGGGAAACCGCACCTGCGCCAAGCGGCCGGTGGGGGCCGACCCAGGGGCAGGCACCGAGAGGTCTGAGGACCGCAGTTTGTGATTCCTGGGAAGAGCGGCCGCAGAGACCCCAGGGCAGCATCCTCCCCCCGGAACCCTGAGCTCAGGAGGTGAGAAGTTCAAAGACCCCAGGACTCTGTCTATCCCTCACGATCCAGCCCGGAACATGGTACAGTGCTGGGCCCCGTGCAGGCTCCTGTCTGCCCCTGTGCATGTGCACCCTCAGTACAGCCGAATTGATAGGCTAGAGACTAAAACGATGAACAATAACAAAATAAAATGATCACAACACTGTTATAAAACAAATTATTAGAAACTCGTGAATTATTTCTAGGATTTTCCATCTAGTATTTCTGGCCCATAGTTCACTGCAGAGAGTGACAGTGGAAGAGGGAGACCCGGACACTTCCTGCCCACCTGGGATCCAGGTCCACAGGAGGAGCACACTAGGCTGGGCCGGGCAGCAGCTGTGCCCTGACCGTCCTCCTCGGCAGCCCTGCCTTCCTTCCCCCACCCACCAGCTACCACGGCAGGTGGCTGGGCTCCAGGAACACGGCCTCCACCCTGTTGGGATGCGGGGACTCCTGCCACGGTCCCCCAGGCCCTCTGCCCATCATCGCACTAACAACCCTGCCATGAACCAGTTCCCCTCCAGCCTGCCGAGGACCGGGAGGAGTCAACACCTGCTCACTGGACCCTGACGGACGCCGTGCTTCCAGAGCCCCGAGGGGAAGCGGGTGCAGGGGTACCCCTCTGTCAGGGGCACTTTGGGATCCTCCCCGACAGGAGAGGTACCCTGGGGTCCCAACTCCTCATCTGAGTAGGAACCTGGGAAAGAGCCACAAAGGCACACACCTGTAATCCCAGCAGCCGGGAAGCTGAGGCGGGAGGATCGCAAGTTTGAGGCTATCCTCAGCAACTTACTGAGGTCCCGTCTCAT